TGATAAATTCCTCCCTCATCTGATTTTTCGGCTTCAGTCCTGGACATATTTAACTGCCTGTTCCCTCTCCACTCTTGGATTATAAAGAATTGACCTGGACATGTCTAATGGATTCTGCTATTTGGATTGTCCCCTCAAGAAGTTACTGTACTGGAGCTCCAATACCCCGACTAGGTATCTCTGCTGATTCCTCCTCGAAGCTTGAAGATGCGATGCTCAGTGATTATAACTCTCCCATATCCCCCCAGTAACCATATGACACATAGTTCTTGGAGTCAACTGATTTTTATTGTGCACAATTTAGATTTCTATGCACATACCAAACAACACAAACCCTTCCCAGGCATCCCTGTGTCTATAACTGTCACGATTCGGGGAACCAAACACGCCAACACACACACACACAAAGTGCAGTACCGGACCTTAGAGTGGCCGGGCTAAGCACACAAAGAATAGTCAGGAAACAAGCCGAGTAAAGGGGAACCAGAAGACTGAATAACGATAGACAAGCCGAGGTCAAAGGGTAGGAGAAAGTCACAAAGTCAGATAAACAAGCCAGAGAGTACGTAACCAGAAACACAAGTTCAGTAGTAATACTAGCAAGTAAAGACCACAACAGGGCGGAGAGGAACAGGAAAGGTAAGTATTTAAATCCATAGCTTAATTCTGATTGGATAATTTCCAATCAGAATTAACAATCACTGTGGGAGATATCTAAACCTCCCACTGTGATTGAGGCACTGTGCCTTTAACGCCGGGTCAGGTGACTGACCCTGGCGTTTGTTAAAATGGGCGGTCTCCCAGCGTGCAGCGTCATGCATGCTGCCGCTGGGGGACACAGAGGAAGACGCGGGCGGCATCCGTGGCTGGGAGGATGCCGCCCGCCGAGCGCACGCCAGGAAGGGGACTGCGGACGGCTGGAGGGTGAGTGCCGCGAGTGGACTGCAACCTCCCCTTGCAGCCGCCCGCGGGACCCTGACAGTAACTCAATTATATCAGTTACAGGGAACCATAAAATACACAAAACACCCCAAAACCATATTCAGACCATACAGGAACCCCACATGTCTTATATTCCCAAATAGCTCAGATCAGAGCACCCAAGTTACCCAAATAGCGTTCAGATCCATTCGGTGTATCGGAATCACCATTCAGCCGTGAAGTGGTAGCCCAAAATAGTTCCAGGGAAAAAGATGCAACAGCTGGTCAACTTTTGGGAGTTCCTGTGCGAACACACACAAATCCTCCTCCTGGCACTTAGGGAGAGAAAGCTCCCCTCAAATGAACAAGTCTTTTCCTCAAAAAGCGCTCTACTGGCATGTCTGTTTGGGGAGCAGGTAGTGGTACAGTTTTTCCAGGGTTCATTAACTATGGTATCTATGGTAACTATGGCAGCTGTACGATCGGTCAGGAGACACCATTCTATAAAGCACGTGCGTTCGGTCATATGAATGGCGGCCACCTAGAAAGAGCACTTGAGATAACTGGCTGCTTTGACATTAATGAGCAACAGGGTGGTCGGTGTTCTGAGGGTGTGACAAACGCTCCTTTCCTCCGTTTGCCATGAACTCCTGGAGGAGTGTGGAAGCTGGCCTCCTGCCCACCGACCAGGTCCAGTTTAGAGACCCCATTTAGGAGTTATCCTACACAGCCACCATTAGCAGCTTTCCCTGCATGCCCCTGGTCTGGCACTTTCCCTTCATTAGAAGGGAACCAAATGCTAGCTCCCTGTCGGTCGTTCACCTGAACCAAACCCACAAATGGTCCTCAGCGGCTATCGCTAAGGAACTAATTTCAGCATGTGGACTTCGTATTTTTACATTTTTTATTTTGTTTACTACATATATATTTCTGTTTTGAAAAGAAAAATAGATAAATAGTAAATACTCACCTCAGCGATACCCATCCATGAATGTTATGGAACTGTTTTAGGTGACCGTGCGGTTCCTGGTCAACTTGGTTCAGGGTTTGAACCACTTTGGTGCCCCGGCTGTGAATTTGCATGGTCTATCTATCTATTCATGGCTGGGCTGTTGTTGCTCCTCGATGCTCCATTTTCGAAGTAATAGCTCTTACGTGCCTGACTTGGGTAGATTGAGGACATGAACTGACTTTTGGCAAAGGTTAAATCCTATGACAATGCCATTTTTAAAGTCATTGAGTTTTTCAGAATGATTCATAGCACTACCAATGTATGTCTATTGAGATTTTAACACTGTGTGCTGGATTTATTGCACCTGTCAGCAATGGGTGACAATGAATTCAATAATTAGTAGGGGTGTCCACTTAATTTTGGTCATATAGTGTATGTTAAAGGGACACTATAAAGCATTGCTGTTTCAGAGATGTTTACATTTGGCCATAAACAGACTGAAAGCCACTAAATGTATTTTTTTATTATTAAAAGTTATTACGTTTAGCGCCATCATGGCATGATTCATCTGAATGCTGTATATACTTCTCATAGAGAATCATTGATTCAAGGCGTATCAATGAGAACCATTAGATTAACTGCGTAACAGAAACTTGCAGAGAGGCCTACAGGCTAGCCTCTTACTCAGAGATTATGGACCCATTGTGATGGAAATCCCCCAATCCTAAAACATTAAATCGTACAAAAAAATCTCTGTTCAAACATATGTGCACGCATAGCCAGCATGTTAAACACCCAGGATACAGAACAATTCAAAGAATGGACATTGGGACTTTTAAGGGTTCACCCCTACTCGCATCCAGAGGGTTAACTCTCAGATTGATGTGAATAATAAAGGGTTAAGTTTGTATCGGAAGAAGGAAGTTTACAAACGAGCACTTAATTGATATGGTAGGACTTAACAAGTTAACTATGTGCTTGTTTTACAGTTTAGAATTAACCCTGGTCAGTGTGGATAATCACGGAAGCCTGAAAAACCTCCTGGCAAATATCAGTATAGTTCCCAGAGCTTTACTGAAGATATGATAGCATTATTCAGTATCCAGCTGCAAAGGCAATAATAAATAATAATAATTAACTGAGACAATAATGTGGCAAGTACTCACCAATGTTCCCATACGCATCGCTTTCATGTCGCATGCATGATGGACATAATACCAGCCTGCCCACATTAACATGACATTGAGTAACTCCTTAGGGGTGTGCTCTTATTTTGGTCTCAAATACAGGACTTTAAACTGTTCAATGAATCATATTTGTGTATACGATTAATGGCTGAAAAGTTGTATATTTTTGTTGTTTCTTTGTTACCAATAAATCTGGATTTTATGTGCCTATTCTGTTGAACCCTTGGATTACTTCATCTTGTTTTATTGAAGAGACTGCATATCTCTTCCATGGTGTACTAGGACAGACATCTATCTTCTACTCTTTCCCCTTGAGTGCACATACCACCTACTTTATCGTGTTCAAAATTTGGTTAGTCACCATGACCTCAATGTGCAAATACATGCTGTCCCAACCGTTTTTGCCACCATTCATTTTATGGCATGCTTGCCACTAAGAGCACTCCATAAATCTGTGTTGAAGTGCACCTATTGACATATATCCTTATACCCAGGGCTGTCTTTAACGCGTGGCAAAAGGGGCAGCTACCGTGGGCAGGCCCCAATTGTGCGCTGTGACCCTTTAAAAACGCAACCTTGCCCCTTGCTTTTTTTTCAGAATAAGAGGAAGTGACTGCTGTCAGTCACTTCCTCTCAGAGAAATCAGAGCAGTGCGGGAGGGAGGACCTGGGAGTGAGGAGCGTTCTGGAAAGCCAGATCCCAAATCCCTACATCCTCAGACACCACAATGGACCCCAGGGAAACTGGACGGTGGGTTTACAAATGTAAATATTATATTGCATGTGTCAGTATGCATGTAAGTCTGTATGCGTGTCAGTATGTGTGTCTGTGTGTGTGTTAGCATGTCTGTCAGTTTATGTGTTTGTGTGTGTGTGTCATCATGTCTCTAAGTGTATGTGCCTGTCTCTGTGTGTGTCAGCATGTCTTTCAGTGTATGTGTCTGTGTGTGTGTGTATGTGCATTTGTGTATTTGTATCCAGATGTGTATCTGCGTGTCTGTGTATCAGTGTGTGTGTGGCAGTGCATATGCATGTGAGTATACATCTCAGCATCAAACTTCAACACTACACACAAATACACCCCTGCATTCAAACGTCAACACTACATACACACACCCCTATATTGTAAACCAAACAATACACACAAGTAAACTACTGCTTTCAAATGACAACAGTAAATTAAACACACTACACAACACTACACACAAATACAATTCTACATTCACACACACACACTGCATACAAAAACATGCTTACATTTAAACATACAAACATTGCTCACTGCTAAGTACAACCCTGCAAAGATAGGAAAATGGTAGATTCCCAGCTGGCAAAGAATTAATAGATGGGTATCTATCATGTTGCGGGGGCCCACAAAAAGTCTTGCACCAGGGCTCTCTCTGTTTTAGTTCTGCCACTGGTTTCCTGTATATCCTAATTACTATTGGGTGCATAACTTGAAAAGCCTTTATTGGTGAAAAACATTGTGTAATATTGTAATATGTTTTGTCTTCCTGACCCTGTAGTGTTCCTTTAATAGCTGATATCAATGTGGTTTTAGATTAAACCCTGCTTGGAAGTATATATTTTTTCTTTACTGTTTCTACATTATTTTCTCTCTTTTGTAGAGGAGCAGTATATATGTGGGTATTAGTATGTGTGTGGGGGAAGTAGTCTGTGTGCATGTGTAGTAGAGTGTATGTACCTGCCATGGTCTATACAAGGTGACCATCCTCTCCTTTCCCTCCTCTCTCTGCATTAGATGACTGTGTTAAATCTGGGTGCAGGGCACTTTAAAAATAGCAAAGTCCTCAGTCTCCCAAATTTGGGCTGAACACTGCCTTTATACTCAAATAAATATTTCTGAGAAAATAAACCTAGGATTTAAACAGTGGAAATGTAACAGACTCCTTTAAACAAATGTCTCTGTGAATAAAACTGTAGAGATACTTTCAAGAATACTCTTTATTATAGAATATAAAAATATTGTGTTTGTAAAAACAATAAGTTACATATGATACAATACTTTACAACACGATAGCTCAAACAGTTTGATAAGGTTTGCATTTAAAATAGGACATAGGTAGGCAATAACATCTCACAGAGAGTTTTCTGCTAACTAGAATTAACAGGCCAGGTTGTAGAGAATAAGTTTAATAACAAAATAAATCAGATGTCCACACAACTGGTTAATACCATGAAAAACTATTTTGTAACTATATTTAAGGGAAATGTAAAAATTATGCTGACTCACATATTCTGGCTTGTGCACTTGAAAAACAAAGAGTTAGAGTTTTCTGACCTACTTTGTGACCTCTCCACATGTTGCTAAGTCATGCCTACAGTGGAAAAAATTAATTGAGGGATGTGAGTATATATGTTTATTTTTTTTTTTTTTATTTCACCACAATTTCCAAAGAATTCCTGATGCTAAACATAAAGGCATAAAGGTTATCACTGTGATTCTAGAGTCAAAATTAAAAAATTGGAACGCTTATTTGTAAATCTATAGGAAAGAGCAAAGCATTTAGCACTTGCTTTCCTCTTTATACCATAAAGTGACCCTCGTTAGTTATCATGACAATATTACCATATCATCGGTCCTGAAGAGGTTATACATAACACCCATCGTTTTTTACATCTTAGGAAAATCAAATAATTTTCCAGTCTATTGCCTTTATTAATAATCATAGGAATATCTGCAATTTATGGAGTAGTGAATATAGATTCTACTTAAACTAAAAAGTGTTTGAGGGCACATTTTTTTTTTTTACAAAACACAATGACTTATCATACACAGTAGACTATATAAAAATCTGTAGCTTATATACGTAGTCTTTAAAGTAGACATTTGTCAGATTAAATAATGTAGAATAAGCCTTAACACAAATTAAGGTGTCTTCCATTAGATCTAACTAATTCTAATACTGATCCGATACCGGGGTAGGCAACATTTGGCACTTCAGATGTTGTGGACTACATTCCCCATGATGATTTCCCCACATTATGTCTTTAAGAGCATTGTTGGAGATTTAGTCCACATCTGGAGTCCTGAAGGTTGAGTATCCATGCCACAGACTATACAGGTTAATAAATAAATAAAACAGTATAACTGATGTTGTGGTAGCCCTGGCGTGAATTTCAGAAAGACTGACAGTATTAAAAAGGGATTAAGTAGCAAGTTGTTCAAACAAATTAGTGCAATAAAGAAACCTATTAGGCTAAAATACACAACTCACTAGTGTGAAGTGGTATGACATAAATTTAAATATTTATAATATTTACACAACCTTTACCAAGATCACCAAGCAATGTACTATCTTGGAAAGGCTGGTCTTAGTGCACTTTGCATTTATTTTGAGTGTCTGTGATGCTACCAAACATACCATCCCATTCACCCGGCTAATTATAACCCATTAGAAAAACTCAAAACACTACATGAAAATAATTGCTTTTCAAAATATTAACAATGAAACAGTTATAGTTACAATGTACTAAATTGTGGCAAGTTGAAAGCTGGGAAAGCTAGTCAAAGTGTGCATATCTTTTCTCCTATGATCGTCAGTTATAAAGGTTTTCCGCTTTTATGAATAAGACCTTGAACATTTTACTGCTGTCTAGTTTGCTTTATTATTTACATTTCCTATGAATTTATGTATCAGTGTAGTTTATAGTTTGTTTTATTGTAAAGTCATATTTTTGCCCCAAGCATCTCCAGAAGCATATCTTCCATATTGACCGAACCAATGATGGGTCTAAAAAAGAGTTCCGCAATAGAGTTGCCATTGATTGATCTCAGCAAGGATAGAACGATAATCAACTTAGTAAACCGGGTCTGTTCCCATCTATGAATAAGCTTCACGTGCTCGTTTAAGGCTTGTTCTGCTTCCTGTTGTAATCCTTGAATGTACTGGGTGCAATGAAGATCTGGTAAATCTGTAGGGAAAGAAAACCCATAATGAGCCGCATTGTATAAAACAAATATAATATAAGTATCATTTATGAAAGTTAATTAATTAGTAATAATTATATCATACCTGACACATACCACATGCAAGTTTCAGGAATGGAATAATACTAAATAAATGATTGACAGTCGTACAACATATTTCAGTATATTTTCACTATGTGCAAGAAATAGAAAAAGTAATGATATGTATATTTTTACTAATGTACAAGGCTCCAATGAAGCAGTTACCGAGTGTAATACCATATGGAATGGGTTATGATGGCATACTGTATACAGGTTGGTTCATTTAGCAGTCAGTGTGGATGGAAGTAAGCACATGGAACTAAGAGTAAAGAGGTAACAGATTTGTCAAAAATCTAAATCTACTAAGATAATAGAATAAATACTAATAATGTATGCAAGAACAAAATGTGAGCATGTGTGTGCTAAAAGTAAAACTATGCCACTATCTAACGTAAAGTTTTTATTAAATCTAAATTTTTCACAATGTCTTCAAGCACCAGCTGCTTTATATTTTAAGAACATTAAATATTTATTCTTGTATGTCATTTTGCATGCTACTGTTATACAGATTGATTTTACGTTCCTGAGGAAGTCCAAGTGTATTTGGACGAAACGTGTAGAACCAACCTCTGTTTTTAATTGTATTGGTGCTTCTTCTGGATTCCTGTTCTTAAAGGAGTATACACGGAACGAGGCGTGGGTTTACAGCCCCCCAATACCATCGGGGGAGGCACCCTTTGAATGCTTTTAAATCTTTGAATTTGTGAGTGCTATAATTATTAGCGCACATATAGCGCAACTATTTTTTTGCTTTGTGTTCTCTTTTAGATTATACAACTGTTTCCCATGTTTTGTTGTTTCGGCTCCTTATATTTAAAAAAGATAGTAAACAGTGAGGGCAATCCCCTAAGATAGTATTTATTCATTACAATATTTATTAGGGCAAAGATTCTGGAAAACACCATGACAGCTGATATTACACCTTTCTCATGATCTTGTACCTACTACCTGCTTCCTATTTGGTAAACACTACCGTTTGATCTTATCAATGACAGGTTTATGCGGAGATTAGAGGAGATCGGACAATAAATAACTTATATACCAAATGTATTTCCAAAGATATGTTTGGAATTGACATAATCATAACAATGTTCACATTCATGTCGTTTTATAGCATCGTTGGATGTTTTCTTAGAAAGTAAGTGTAGAGATACAATTCAATGCTGGCCCCTGTATAATATAAGCATCATTGCACACATACATGATGGATTCAAATGTCAATAATGCAGCAAACTTTAAATCAATAAAAAAGAAAGTTATGTGTAAAACATTGCAGGATATATATATACACACACACACACACACACACGTTTTCGTTACCTGGATTAAAAAGGACAATCCCTTTAAGGTAAGCATATTCCTTGGTGCTTATATCCAAGCTCCAACATTTGTCTAGGAATTCTTTGATCCACCTGATCTCAGCAGCTGAGGGTAGCTGTGGGAGCCTGTGTTGATGCTGTTGATTACTTCCTATGAGAGTTTCTCTATGTTCCTGTTGCTGCTTTCTCTCTTCTTCTTCCTGTTTGTTTGTTAATATCCTTTGTAACATACTGGGCTCTGCTGTCTCCACAGTCTCAAAATTGACTTTGTCCTGTGCAAGACCCAGCACTAGCAGAGGAGCCCAGCAATTCCTGACCAGTACCAGTTGGTCATCCAAAGGGAGCTCCTGAAAGCATGGCACATTCTTGACAAACCTCAGAGTCTTTACCAGCACTGCTGATGCTGCTTTGCATGTAACCTGGGGGCTTTTCAAACTGACCTTCTTCTGTGAACCACAGGAGCATCCCTGTCCATATACCCCAGTGTGTTCTTCTTTCCTTGATTTGCTGTTCTGCGATTCCTTTTGCTCTTCATTTTTTAGAATGTTATATAAAATGCTTCCATGCTTCCTGTTATCCACAGAACAATGGCATTTGTCTAAGCAAGCCATGGGGGAAAATATTATCAGACAGCACTGGGGCTGCCTTAACTGCTCCTACACCTGCTGTTCTGCTGTTAAATTAAGCCAGCTAGAAAGTATGCTGTTTCTCCTCTGCCTGCCCCTTACGTTATTTATACCTTTGTTTCCAGTCAGACAATATCATCTGCAGTTCAAAAGGGGCAGACGTTCATTATTGGCTGCAAAAGAGAGAGACAGAGAGAGAATAGAAATCAGGGACCTCCTCCCCATGTTTGCATAGCTTTATGTCGCTAGAGGGAGCCTCAGAGTCACTTTTGATGACTGTTGCACTGCTGAATTGATGTTCTTTTGTGTAGCTACAATTCTATAGCCCAAAATAATAATAAAAAACATATATACCTAAAAGGGATTTTTCTTGCTTATATAAAGAATTACAGCATAATACTGAAAAAATAGTCTAAGAGAGAAGTACAATTCCACTTTAAATTAAACTGAAATTAATTTGGAATATTAACTGGCATTTGTCTGTACTGGAACCTCTCTCCTATTCATTAATATAATACCATATTTGGAAGAATGTATGTCCAACTGATGACATCTGCTACTCCATCTTCTGCATACCATGACTCTCATGACGTTTTGTCTGCCATGTCTCTCTGCGTATATGTTTCTGTTGTGATCGTGGCTGTTTAGCAGTAATTGTATGCAAACATTTGTAAAAAGTGTTTTTGTGTTTATATGTATGGCTATTTTCTGTGAGAAGAAACACTTAAAAGCAAATCAAATTTCTACTTTAATCCATATTCTTGAAGGACATGGTGATTTGAACACAGGACACAAAGGAATAAAATATAGCTCTGGAAAAAAAATAAGATAAGTTCATGTTGCATCAAGTGCAAATTACAAAGGATACTAAATACCCAAATATGTATTTGAGACATATGACGATCATTTTTAAGGTGTGTGCAGGTATTAACATAGCATAGATTTGAAAGTACAAGTCATGATGTCACAGCAGCCTATGACCTCAGGAAGAAAGTCAAATTTTAGACATCTAACTGTTTATTAACTTGCATAAAAAATTGTCAACTAAGCACATCAAAAGCACAGAAATTTCTCAAACACTTAAACATATAGTTCAAACTAACCTTTAAACGTAGAAATGTGTAAAATATTTTCATTCCAAAAATTATGATTGTATTCTAGACAAAGTAATTTAAATGATACGGTGAAAGTAAATAAATAGACGGTAAGCCATTTAACAGTACCTTGGTTGTTTGTAGATACTTACCAATATTTTGATTAACATAACGGTCTATTTTATAAAGAGTGAGATGTAATGCACTGAGAACCAACTTGCAAATCTAATGCTAAAAAGGGGCTACTTTCCATTGTATTGATTAGCTTTTAATGGTCAGCTTCTGTTCGCTAAAATACCAGTCGCTACTCTGAGTAGAGACTGTTTACATTAACCTTTCACCTGTAGTGTAAGGAAACTACCGTCTGTAGATACTTATAACCATTATTCTCTATGGGAGCTGCTAACCACTAATTAGCAATTGTTTTCCAAACCTGATAGTATGGCCAAAAGGTAGATCCCTATCTGTCATGCAAATCCACCAATGCTTTGACAGCTAGGGTTTTCCCATTTTCCCATGCTTGCAGGGTTGTATAGCACTGAGCAGTGTTTGTGTGTTTGAATTTAAGCATGTTTTAGTATGGAGTATGTTTGTGGTATTTTGGTGTTTAACACAGAGACTTGTGTTTGTATATAGTGATGACATTTCAATGCAGGAGTGTGTTTGTATGTTGTGTTGAAGTTTGAATGCATGGGTGCATTTGTGTGTAGTGTTGTTGTATACACATACACTGACACACACACACACTGTGATACACAAACACAGATACACACACACTGAAATACACGCAGATGCACATATATATTTACTAACACACAGAAACACATGCAGATATACAGACCCATATACACACACTGACACACATGTACGCACACAAAGATACACATATAGACAAACAGATATACACTTCTTGATAAAGGCACATAAAAGTGATAAAATATTGTCTGTTTTCTGTGCTCCTGCAATAAAGACTTATGAGGAAACCATGGGTGTGCCCAGACATTCTGTATTTTAAAGATTTACTTTACTTGGAAATTGTCCTTCCCTGTTTGGATGCACCCTAGTGGGAATATCACCCAACAGCATGTGCATTACCTCTTTCTCTCAAAGTACACACATTGACAGACATAGTGACAGGCACACTTACAGACATACTATCACACACGCACAGACAGACACATACAACATTTACATTTGTAAACCCACTCTCAAGTTTCCTACCTTTTGCTGAAGGGTGGCTTCCCTGGGGTCCAGTGTGGTGCCTCAGGTTGTGTCCCTCCCGCACGGCACCACATCTTACTGGGAGGAAGCGACTCGCACTTGTCACTTTCGCCCAGCTCTGCCAAAAAGCAAAGGGTCTCGGTTGCATTGTTAAGGGGCCTGACTGGGCCCCTGCTGATAAAAGCCCACCGACTGGCCCTAAGTGTATGGGCCACCTGATGGGCCTCCTTAGTGTGTGGGCCCGCGCCTCCCATTTGCCCCATGTTAAAGATGTCCCTGCTCAAATGTTACATGCACATGTATTTTGGCATACCATAAATTTAAAATGTAATACATTGTATACACAGTCATATATATTCTGCTAAGGTACGTTACTGGATGTACTAAGTATGTTCAGGATGAGCCCTTTATATTATAAGGTGTGGTTGTTATGGTGACAACTTACAGTGCACGTGTTGCTGTGTATTATCAGTGAGCAGTTAACCCGTTAATGCCAAAATGGCATTTTAACACTGCCACATTCTGTCATTGCCTCCCAAACTGAAGATTGCACTCAGTTTATCTGCCTGGTTACCCAGGCAGTACCCCAGTGCAAGTCTCCTATCAGACATTTTGGGGCCCCTGACAGAGTTCAAGGTCTGGGCCCCCAGGGCCCACCCCCGAGTCTGCCCACAGGACCCATTCTGAATCCACCCACAAGTATGCTGTGTGTTTGTGTGTGTGTAGTGGATGTGGTGTGTAAAGTGGATACAGATTGCACATTTGTGTAATGGATGTAGTGTTTGTGTGTTTTAGGTACAGTGTGTGTTTGTGTAGTGAATGCAGTGCTTCTGTGTATTAGATGCAGAGTGTGTGTTTGTGTAGCGGATGTAGTGTGTGTATGGTGAATGCAGTGTGTGTTTATCTAGTGGATGTAGTGTGTGTATGATGAATGCAGTGTGTTTGAGTAGTGGATGTAGTATGTGTATTGTGAATGGCGTGTGTTTGTGTAGTGGATGTAGTGTGTGTTTGGTGGATGCAGTGTGTGTGTGTATGGTGGATGGTGGATGTAGTGTGTATATGGTGGAGGCAGTGTGTGTTTGTGTAGTGGATGTAGTGTGTGTATGGTGGATGAAATGTTTGTATGGTGAATGCAGTATGTGTTTGTGTTGTTATTTTAGTGTGTGTAAATGTGTAAAAGAGGGGCTGCATTTCGGGGATCAGGGGGACCTTTCTGGTGGTATTTAAATGTATTTAAAACACTATTTTATTCCCCCCTCCCTACTTCTTACCTTATTGCATCCCTGGTGGTCCGGTGGTATGGTGGAGGGAGCCAGCCACTGTATAATGTAGAAGGGACCCTGCTGCTGCTGGAAAGTTAAGCTGGTGCTGGTAGGGTCCCTTCTACATTATATATGTAGCTGGTGGCAGAGGCCCTAAGGTGCACATACATATAGCATAATCGTAGCAAATGGAACATGGGGCCCAGGACTCCCAGAGCAGTCCGGGCCCCCCAGGACCGCCGGGCCCATGACAACCACTTAGATCTGAGGTGAGAGAGGCAGAGAGATCGTTGAAAAGTGTGTTAAAACATTGATAAAAGTTTTAAAAGTTTTTAAAAACTTTTTACAAAATCTTTTTTTTTAACCCTTTAATGCTGTGATCAGCCTGATTAGGGTATTTAGTACTTTCGTACTATTCATATTTTTTTTTTTAAAGGTCAAAAAAATTTTTTTACCCATTTTGTCTGCTGCAGCAATTTAAAAATGTTTTAATCCCTTCTCTGCTGTGTTCTCACTGTACTGTACAGTATCTCTACTGCACAGTAATGTATCAGTGATCAGTGTGATCAGGAGGCTCTCTAATCAGGCTACCATTTTTTAAGGGGTTATTTTTATTACAAAAATTAAAAAAAGAATCCTTTTAGTACTGGTCGCAGCTGTTTGAACTGTGATCCCTAATTTTATTTTAAATGTTGGGTTAGGTGTTTGGGTTTTTGTGGGTGGCAGTGGGAATTGGGTGTGGGTAGTGTGTGTTAGGAAGGTAAGCAAAAAAATCAATAAAAAAAATCACCTTTTGAGTTTTTAATGTATAATAAATCCCCGTAGAACTATTTGGCAGTAAAGGCCATTTTGGCAGACAGTAATAATGGCACTCTGCAAGACAGTGCCTGATTAGGGTATTTAGTACTTTCGTACTATTCATATTTTTTTTTTTAAAGGTCAAAAAAATTTTTTTACCCATTTTGTCTGCTGCAGCAATTTAAAAATGTTTTAATCCCTTCTCTGCTGTGTTCTCACTGTACTGTACAGTATCTCTACTGCACAGTAATGTATCAGTGATCAGTGTGATCAGGAGGCTCTCTAATCAGGCTACCATTTTTTAAGGGGTTATTTTTATTACAAAAATTAAAAAAATAATCCTTTTAGTACTGGTCGCAGCTGTTTGAACTGTGATCCCTAATTTTATTTTAAATGTTGGGTTAGGTGTTTGGGTTTTTGTGGGTGGCAGTGGGAATTGGGTGTGGGTAGTGTGTGTTAGGAAGGTAAGCAAAAAAATCAATAAAAAAAATCACCTTTTGAGTTTTTAATGTATAATAAATCCCCGTAGAACTATTTGGCAGTAAAGGCCATTTTGGCAGACAGTAATAATGGCACTCTGCAAGACAGTGACACAATCACAGCCTCTGACATTAAGCCCATGAGTGAGTCCTCAAGTCATGGAGCTCAGTTAGCTCAATACCAGAGGAAAATGGGATACCCCCTAACCTGATGGCCCTAGGAATACCCCCATTCAGGCAACCCCTGGCATCTCATTTATAGTTGATGCTTGTGAGCCACTAAAATGCAACATGTTTGCCAACCAGTATCCCACTACAAATCCAGGGTCACATTGCAATAGAAGAAACAAGTGGCACCCCACAGATGTTGCACAAATACGAAAATATTGGTCCTAAC